ACTTAGCTCTTCAGATCGTATTAAGTCTGAGTCAATCAAATCCAAGGATTTAGACACTTTGGGTGATATAATCGAAGAAAGACTTTCACTACAGCAGTGAAAGAGATCGTCTTTCTTAAAAAGGTTTCCTTATGGCATTGCCCTGATTAAATTCATTCATTCTTTTATCAATTAAAGAAAAACACGTTCAATTTTAATTTAAACAAATTTAATATTCACTCATTAGGTTCATTCATTCTTTCGTCTACTCATTCGTTCCATGCAAAACCCGTTCTTTTTAATTTAAATAAATTAAAGTTTCATTTAAATTTGATTAATATACCAATTGGCGTATGAATTAAACAATAAAAATAATTAATTTTTGATTATTGATATATGTATCTGACCTTGCTTTGCCTGTGGTATATGATATTTAAATCGATAGTCATTATGTATGTTAATAACTATGTAAAAGCTAATCGATAGGGCGTTACTGCTATATGAAGATGTATGAAGGATATAAAAATTGTCATTGGGGACATGATCTTTTTATTAATGACTTTATTTAAAATAAATAAGTACCTTTATAACGATTAAGAAGTTAAGGACATTTGCTCAATTGTGTAAATATAACTTAAGATATTTTTTGTAAATCGATACCGCCATTGAATACAAACTTTCTGGTTTTATTTTGTTTTTTGTTTCTTTTTTTTTCACAAAATTCGGGGAGCATAATATTAGTAACTAAACATGGCTGTTTACAAAAATAACTGAAAATGACCAAAAAACAAAGTTATCGTAGCTAGTGGTCATTGGGGGTATCAAAATATTTCAAGCGGTGGTAAGCCATTGGAAGAACTGTTGATTTTAAATTAAGTGGTCGACGGTTCGACTCCCTGTGGCGGCATTACCGATGACTTTAATTTCTATGTTAACAAAAATTATAATGCTTTCAACAACCTCACCAATTCCACGTACTTCTAGCACCAGAGCAACGGACTTCACTTCGTAGTGCTACTCAGAGCACCCAAACAAAAACCAGTTTAGAAAAATTAATTTCCCAAATTTTCTACCGGGAATCGAACCAGAGACCTCCTCATCCGGTGCCTATGGTGCAAACCGTTAAGCCACCGTGGTGATGGATGTGTTGATTTGTGCATAGCTTTTACAACCCTTGGAAAACGTGTAAAGCTAACTTGCATTGGAAAATGATAAAGGAAAGAATCGAAGTAAATACCATAATAAAAAAAAAAATCAAAATAGGGGTGTGATTTTTTTTCTGCAAACTGTACTTTTTAATAAATATCAAAATGGCATCTATGCCTACATACTATATAAAGCGATAGTTGATAACAATAACAAATGAAATAATTTAGTCCTACCCTCACCGTTCCTCCTTCGGTCGACTAGAAGGTCCGGAACACTACATCCTTATATCGTTGATATACCAACCATTCGCACTAAGCGCTTTGCTTTCTTCTTTTTGATGCGTTTTGCGATGCGATTTGGGGCTGTTCAAGGCTAGAGTGAATAGGCATCTTTTACGCAAACGCGTACCATCGTCGTTAGGCGACGTCACGTGAGATGGTGGCCAAGCGTGTAACTATTATTTATTAAAAAGAAACAAAAATATTACGTGACAAAATGTCCTTAAATATCCGGTAACTCAAGATAAAACTACATAACAAACTGCCATTATACACCCAAATTACCCGACGTAGAATTTAGAAAAAAGAAAAGAATCTTTATAGTACAAAATCCACTCTATAAAGTTGACCGATATTTTGACTTTGAATGAGTATATATTTTTGTGATCTTTTTTTATAACATCAAGTGACGGGACGGACGAATAAGCTACACGCCTGTTCATAACAGTTACAGTGCCACTCAGAGCTTTAAATTACAAAGATTTGAGAGGCATTACCAGTGCGCCCGTCACCCTGAAAAATAAGTTGTTCAGTCCCATGTGCCTGTAATTTCACCAAATGTGATATTGTGAATTGTGAAGTTACTCCACTAGTTTATTATAATCAATATTTTGATGTTATGCGTTATAAAAAAAATCTTAATTTCATAATTATCTCTAATGATATACCTATGAATAATTTATTGTTTAATTTATTTCATGAAAAAATATTACTATTTTACATTTTATATTTTCTTTAGCGAAGCCTTGAATTTAATTATATAATACATTTGTTAATAAATAATGACATGGCCTAAAAAGATGTTTTGTAATATTTTAGTCCTGCTAAATGTTACGGACTTCTGAATCTTTGAATCTATACATAAGTTTTAGTAGCATGAGAGCTCCTTGTGAAATAAAGTTCGTCCAGGAAAGCACTGCCACCTTAACCATATCTTGCAACTGTCATGGATAGGCATGTCCTTTACTATTAGGCGCATAACTTGTTCGTCACCGCGCTACTTGGTATCATAAAAAAAAAGACATCAATATGCTTTTACGGTCATCTAAATCCAAATAAAACGTTAAGGCTAACGAGCGAGTGGATAAACTAATAATGTACACCTGCCATCCTATGTTTCCGTTAAATCCGTTAATTTGTTATAATTATTAATACAAAGATCGAACACTCAGAAAAAACACTCAGAAAAAATTCCTCCGATCCGGTCGGATTCGAACCGACGTCTTCTTGCATACCGTGCCAGACGCTATACCAACTAAGCCACGGAACGAACCAACGGACCTCACGAATTTCTCTATGTGCTTGCGTCGTGTCTTTGTACTTGGTCTTTCAACGACTTTTTAGTCGTAGCGACATCTATGAGAAATCTGTTACAGATTTATCACCCAGTTAGTACCTTTACAGCTACCAGTCCTGGCGAGAGATGTCGCTATTCACTGTGTTAATTAAATTTTTATTGAATTGATATTCAATTATTTTTGTGAAATTACTCCACTAGTTTGTTATGATTATTAATACAAAAATCGAATACTCAGAAAAAACACTCAGAAAAAATCCGTTAATTTGTTTTTAAATTATTCAACAACATAGGCCTAAACACTGTAGAGCTCCAGCTATTTACCACTCCGAGAATCGAGTACGTATCGATCGTTTATCTATTGTGATTTATATTATCGACTGTGGTGACGACAACTCGTCGGTTTACCCTATTGAACAGTCAATCTTCAGTTTAAAATGTTTGCGTTTACACTGGCTGCAGTTTTAATGTAGGCAGATGTAGATGGGCGGGGAAATGGAACGTGGGTAAAAGGTACACGAAGATCGCCACTTACCCATGTTGCTTAGAACAGGACGTAGACAAAAATAGACAGAGGTATGTTGAGATGGTTTAGGTGAGTTGGAAAAGGACGGCCAAAGAGGTCGTTCTCGGGTAAAATTAAGAATGAACACGTAAGGGAGAAGTTTAGCTTTTTAGTAGGGTAACTTGATACAAACATTGCTGCGCGGCTTGTATGTATACACGCTTGTACGTGTATCTTCTCATAATAACACATGGACAACCCTAATGGTTTGTAAGGCTGGGGAAGCTTCTCCAACGCTCGACGCCAGTCTATCTCGAAAATTAATCAAACTTAAAAGGCAAGAGCTTCATATTCTAACTGCCACTCTAGTCATGGTCCATACAATAAAACCCTTTTCAATTTAGGTATAATAGACAGCCTTCTATGCAGAGCGTGTTTGGAGGAGGAGGAAACGACTGCGCACATCTACTATAGTGCTCCAGCGTGGAGTGCCGAGGTCACTCCCTTAAAGTCCTGAGCAAACCGAGGAGGTTGGTAAGTTTATGATTCTTGGAGGAGCTTGGGTGGTACAAGTAGGACCCTGCACACCCACCACATGCAAAATAGGCATCTGGATGTCGAGTTGCGGACACCAGCCCGTTATACTATGTGCTAAGTATGAAGATGTGTGCGCGTCCGTCGCGCTACTTGTACAGACGTAGGACACTTTGCAAAATCTCGTAGTGCACTTGCGTTGCATAGCGCGGGTATAATAAATGGATCGGTATTACACATCGAGCTTTAGAAAACGCCAATCGCCTCAATTCGGCTTCATAGAGCGTTGTCTCTGTCACTCATGTCTGTGTCATAGAATGTGTAAGAACAATATCTAAAAGAAATCAGAAAGTTACAAATTAGGCTGATAAACATTTAGTATCCAAAAAAGTACAATGGCACAGAATACAATAACTTATTTAGTCACCGCAAGGTCATGCCAATGCTCTTAATTTCTAGAGCAGATATTTAATAGTGTCGGAAAATTACTATAGTAATAGTTGTAAAGTTATGCTTAAGAATACGTACATGACAAACAGAGTAAGGCAGGGTATACTAGTGCATTTTAAAGCAAATAACTATTATTGAAAAAGATGTAACGGTATTTAGTTCCAAAAATATATAACGCCATTAATTGGCTCAGGAATGACTCAAAATTAAGTAAACAAGCACAAGGTAACCAAAGGTACCACTTAATGTAATTTTTATATTTTATTTAGTATAATTAACACTTATTTAATGTTATATATAATAAAGTATGTGTAATTAAGTAAGAGTGCACATATCTCAAGGAAACTGCAGCTGTTTGGCGACTTTTAGAAAAGAAATTTCCTGCTGTATTTTTCTTGAGCAATAAATTTAAAAAAGTACATTTTCATCTATATCAACCGAATTTATCGACGAGAAATAGATTATTGTAAACACACAGTGAAATCTATTTATACAAGTCATTGACTTACAATTATATGGACGTCGGGTCCGCGCTAATAAGTGTCCGAACTTATAGGGCGTTAAAATCGTATACAGAGCGTCATTCACGCTTTAGTCTTCGTTTGTTCGACTGACAGCGAAGCATGCAAAATTAGACAGTACTGCGATGACATTACAATTTAAATTCAACGTTTTAGCTTTTTCATATTCCTTTACATGTCACTACGTTTAAATAGGTTGACTTGGGACATGTTTTTCGTGGTTTTTGTATTAGACCCGTCGTCCATTTATTTGTAAGTCAATGATACTAGTAATAAAAACAAATTACCTTGCACCCTTCACACGTGAAGGCTCCAAAGTGAAAGCCTGCTGCAGGTTCACCACACACTTTACACTGTTGGTTCATCTGTAACAATGAAATAATCATTCTAGATGGTTTTGGAACAGTTATATCCGCTCACACGATACATGCAGCCGTAGACGCATACCACACCTAGAGGTGCCGGTGATGATTTTATACCGATTTATCGGATATCGAAGTTATAACAGATAAAAGAACTAATATTAATTGCTATTTCGGTAACTACTCTAGCAAACCATAAAGTTTTTAATGCCTAGGTCTGTCATTAAAAAAAAATTAACAACTTCAAAAGTACGTCACGACATCGTGTGTGTTATTGTTTGGGCGGTGATTTCCCCTGAATATAAATGTTTATAAACTATACTTTAAGGAGTAATTTCATGGTAAACGTTAGAACCACTCAAACGGAATATTATCATATTTACCCAAGTACACCAAAAATTTCATTAGTGCTTTTTAAGTGCAGGATTTGCGGTGTATTACTGCATTTTATTTGAGATGTTTTGTTGGTACGCTCCGCACGCGTATTTATTTAGCAATGCAGAATAATAATTTTTATTTATAAAAACTTGTATTTAAACTGAATGCTTTTCTAATTTGTGAAACCAAATAGCCGCCATTTTGCGGCAGGAGGAGCGCATCGCGTGAGCGGACTCTTATTAACAGTATCCCGTAATAAGTATTTGTGTACACGAAAGTAAATACACTGGAAAATATTCAAGTTATTTTATGATACCACGTGTCGAACAAGTCGCGTGCCGGTGTTAAGTTTTTCTGGTAGTTAAAAATTGCAATTATGCTTTTTTACTTAAAAATAAAACTGACACTAAAACAATAAAATAAAACGATTAGAGGGGGTTGTAGATCGTTTCAGTGATCTTAGATATGTTAATAACTCAATTTCGCGATTACGTTAGTTATGTTATGAAGGACAACAAACAATTAAAAAAAAAGATATCTCAGGCGAGACATCTCTAGATGTCTCTTTCGCAGAATGTCTTTTTCGCAAAATGTATCTTTTTTCCCAATGGTCATTCACTCCATGTGAATTCATTTACTCATTCTATTAGAAAACGGTGAGAAAAAATTAAAAATAAATAATTTTATTGAACAGTGCTGACGAATGGAAAATGATGTAACACCATGAGCTTTCCGTTTTACCTTTTTGACGTACGGAACCCCAAAAAAGTGAGAAATAAATATTTTAATATTTTTTATAATTGGTGCTTAGAATAATAACGCATAGAAACCTAGTCCGCACACGCTAAGTGAGGCAAATTGAAGCGCGCCCAAAGGGCCTACATGAGCGCGCGGGCCTTCAGTGCTCAAGGTCAACTTGCACCGCGAACAGCTCCAGAATTTTAGCTAAAAATGACGAAATGTGCGGTAAATGAGTGTAAAAATACGTCAGACAAACATAAAATAGATACTAACATCACATTCCACAAGGAAGTAACGCGTTTCAACTTGTATTTTTATATAAATATTCACTAAAACCGAAAATTAACCTACTACTAAAACTAGCCTACATGAATTTGATTTTTGCCTCACTTGTGACAGTTCGTTTGATGTGACACTATCATTCTATGCGTTATTATTCTAAGCATTGGTGTGTATTCCCTTATGAGTATTCGTTCACTTCCAATACACTTAAAATTTCATACTAATCAGCCACAGTATTGACGATTCATTTAAATTTTTTTTCAACAATCTAACTCCCGGAACAAAAGCACAAAAATAATTAAAGTTCATTCAACATAATGAAAATGGCATAGAGGTGATTACTTTATGTCATTTTCTCTCGTGCATTACATCATAATGATATAGAGCAATCTTCTCACTCGGCAACACTATAAGCAAAAAGTCAGCTTGCTGTAATCGAACGACTTTTTACAAGAATCAATTTACGTAAACCTACCACGACGTTCTGTCATCACCTGAGGTTTGGTTTTAAATATTGTAATGTCCATTTTTATTTAATACAATAAATAGATAGAAATAGAATGACCAGTGACCAGATTTGAAGGAGTTAATTTAGCTAATCGAAAGAATAACGTGGACGTTCCGTTTTAGAAATTCCGGGATTTCTCGGAACTGATTTTTTTAATATATTTTTTTATAATATGAAATGACGGCACGAACAAATCATACGCCTGATGGTAAGCTATACGCCTGTCCATAACAGTTGCAGAACTACACAGAGCTTTAATACACAAAGATTTGAAGGCCTACTATGCGTGTTATTTATTGAAATTTGAGTACATTGGCGGCAAACTATTATTTTCTATTAAGTATTTGCTACAAATTATTATCTAAATAAATAATAATATTATAGATGTGTTTCTATATACCTTAAGCAGGACAACTATACTTTCATTATCCACAGCCTGATTTCACCCACCTCCCGAAGTTTGTGACATCCACCACGGTTCTATGCTAGCCGCATCCACTGACTCTCCGCGACGTGTATCGTCCATCCAAATTGCAACTCGGCGCCCGACGCTCTTTTAAATTCCATGATCCGAGTTCCAACATCCTAGACTTTCGTCTGTCGTCGGATCTCATTGTTCGGAACTCGGTCTACAAGGCTGATGCCGAGCATGACACGTTCTTACGTGAACGCCCATTTAAAAAATAAACATCGCATTGATGACGAAATAGGTATGTATGTCCATACTAAGAAAATGTTGGTACTTTAGATAGATTAACCCCTACAATTCCGATCACTCATAATGATTGTCAGTAATCATTACGCTTTATATTCAAGTTTACTAGTTTTAGTACCAATAGAGCTCCTTATGAAAAGGGTTCGTCTAAGTTAGTGCTACCTTACCTGTTTCTGCCACCAAGAAGTAATTAGATCCGGTTTCAGTTAATATAAAAAACAAAATCATTGGTATATGTAAAGTACTTATTGAATACAGCGGTTTTCTTGTATAATTTCGAGGTAAGTTTATGTTTTTTTTCTATCGTGAAAATTTTTAGAAATCAGTGTATAATTTCAATTTCACTATATATATTTTTCAAAGTGATTGGTTCATCACTTTCACTGTCATACGGAATCAACCAAAGCCATTTGAGGTTGACTCGTTGACTATTAAACCAGTGAATTGACTCGGCTAGTTCGTGCTGTCATTTTGATATCATAAAAAAAAATATCGACAAAATGGTTATCAAGTCAAGAAAGGCCGTCGTCTTTGTTTGTTCTTTGAATTCCATTCCATATGTAAACTCGTCAATGATTTTCAATATTGCTGTTCACGTTTCATTAACGCACGAGGGTTTCTTAGAAATTCGATAATGTTATGATTTGGACATCGAAATTATGTAAATAGTTCAACAATGCCCAGCCGAATCCGCTTCCAAATTGAACACAACTTGAAGTGTTATTCCTCTTGAGGCGGGGAAAAAAATTGGGTGCTCGTTGCTTCCAATATGAAATAGACAAAAAAATTAAACAAACATGGTAGTCACAACTTTAGTCACGATTTTTTAAAGTTGGAGTGTCGTTGAGTAAAAAATATGTCATAATAATGTCATCATCAACCTGTCGTTACACTGCTGGACACGGAAATTCTTTATGGAGAGGGTTTAAATTTCCGTTTTCTACTTTTATTGTATTACCACAATACTGTGGTGAAAATTAAAAATAAATCTTTTTGATCTTTAATTTTGCAGCTCTTTGTTTTTAACTACATTTCGCATTAACAAAGTCACATCTGCAAAATGAAAACTTTTCAACAGAGACTTTTAAAAATTTTACGAATTAGATTATTCGATTAGTTTTTTGTGCTTCATTAGGAGAGAAGAGAAGAAAAAAAAGAAAGTCAGTAAGATCTGCTAGTTCATCTCGTAGCTCTGTTGGGAGATCATCAGGCACGGTATGCATGCATGAGTTGAATATAGCCGTCTTACCTATTATAATTGTTAATGTACTGGTGGCGCTGTAAGTCTATTGTTAAGAGGAATATATGTAAATAATTATGACGGTTATGAAAGATGATAACTCAGTGGCGTCTAAGGATACAGGTACGTCGGGCGGTCAGCGGTGAGATGGGCGGACGACATCCCAGGAATGGCGGAGCAAATCTGGATGAGATCACTTACAGTAAATAAAAAATGAGTCTGTCTTACGAACGAGCAGTAGAGTTTAATCAGTATGACAATTTCAAGTGTAATTAGCTTACGTGTGAAATAAAGATTAATTCATTTTGATTATGAACATGAACGGCATGTATTTTTTTAAAGATACTAAGTGAGAACCAATAAGTCGTGCGCCTGATGTTAAGCGACACGTCTGTCTTCAACATTTGCAGAGCCACTCCGAAGTTTATAATCGCAAAGACCTGAAGTGCACTGCCACTGCGATGGTCACTCTGAGACATAAGTTGACAAGTCCCCTGTGCCTGTAATTTCACCAACGTTGTAATGCTCACATTACTGCTTGGTGCACATTACGTCCTTGGGCGAACTCTTTCACAAGGAGTTCTACTGTCATTTATTTGTAGCTACGATATACTAGTAATATAACGAAACTTGTTAGAATATTTTTTACACTGGCTTGCTGTGTATAGCTGGTCGGCTGATAGACCCATGGTTCGTTTATGAGATTAGAATTTAACCAATTGACAATGGCTATTGAATCACGTGTCATTCAATTATATGTTGACAAATCTGTACAAAAGCGCGAACTTATATTATAACTTTACAAATACGCACTAATTTGTCCAAATAGGTACACTCATCAACATGCTAAAGTACACAAATTGTCACTTTACAATATTTAACAATATTCTAAATTTAAACCATATACAGAATGATATAAGATTCAATTTTAAATGAAGAAAACTTAACTGTCCTCCGCGGTACGCTTGTCGATAAAAAGCGTTAATAAAATGGTTTTCAATTGACAAAAAGTGCGATGACAATCATAATATTCAATAATGATGTATTTAAAATCACTCTGATTTCTCAAGTGCTGTTCAATATGTAATAATGAGTCAGCGCGAGTTACGTTCTACAAATATTATTTCGTGATTTAATAATGT